AGAGGTAAAAATGAGCTTGAGCACAAGATAGTCCGCATTAGTACTTTGTTAGAGAGGTCAAAGTGTTATGTGATTATGGTGAACTTGGTGAGACCAGGGTGTTATATGGTGTAGAGGAGCATCTTCAATCTAATATTTCAATAATAAGGTAGAATTTGGACTTTGAGCTTTAAGCATTTTTTTCTTGAGAAGAGTGAAAAGAGGGAATTAGCCAAATCTACTATGTGTGTAGGATTGCACTTAATCATCTTATCAAGAGGCATTTAGTCCACCATAGATGTTCACTTGCTACCTTTCAAGCTTAAGGTGTTGGGGAAAGAGGAGTAAACACCACAATGAAGAAACAAGCAAGAATGTAAAAGCAGCGGAAATAAAGGACATCAAGATTTAACGTGGAAAAACCCAAAATAGGAAAAAAACCACGAAGCTATATCACACCAAGAAATCCACTATGAAAATTGGGAGAAATAAGTGCAGATCTCTCCTCTCTCACTCTCCTTGCTTCTCTTCTCACATGCACTATTCTCTATGTCCAACCTCACGAAATACAAGAGAGCCAAATTAAATAACCTCAAGGGGCGCAACCCTTCAAAAAAATGATAAATAAAATCATCCAGTCGGTCTCACAACACTGCGGTGCCAACTTGGGGCGCTGCAGCGCTCAAACCTCTGCTTGACTGTTGCAGCGCCATATCTATACCACTATGGTGCTCCGCTCTCTAGCGTTTAACACTGTGATTACTGGGAACAAAGCATCAGGGGCCCTCAGGTACACAGCAGCATCGATGTTGTACGAAAAAAAAATTGAGTGCAAAGCAAAAAATTGAGTGCAAAGCACCCAAACCCAAACAGGGTTAAACCCCCTGCACCCCCTAGCAAGCACGACGAACTTGAGGTCCAAGGAAATTGATAAACCTAATAGAAACACACAATCAGATTCCACACATAACACAGGGTCAATAGCAAGTGATGCAATATTGGCCACAACAGCAACTTATTAAATGGCACCAAACAAGAAGTTTAATGTCCACACCAACAATCTAAACGACACTATTCATAGACACAAAGCTTTAATTAGGAGTGCAAGTGCGAGTTGGCTTGAGCTCGATTCTTTAACGAGCTCACGAGTTGAGCTTATCAAGCCACAAGTTCGAGCTCAAGCTCGAGCTCAAGTTTAGCCTGCCTCGGCTCGAAAGCCTGTTAAGCAACTCGATTAAATTAAATATATTTAAAATTTAATTTAAATTAATATTAGATAACATATTTTAATTCTTTTAAATTAATTCTACTTTTTAAAAAAAAATAAATTCTAAAAAAACCAAATTTTTTATTTAAAATTAAGAAATCGAGTCATTATCAATCTTTTCAAATGAGCTTAAGCTTATAAATTTTTTAATGAGTCGATCTCGAGCTTAGAGTTCAGTAAGAACTTACTCGATTTGACTTGTTTACACCTATGTAGCTTCAATAGAGAAAGGGACTACTAAAGCATTCAAAAAGGGCACATCATTCCCATTTATTTTAATATTTGGCCACCATGGAAAGGCCAAAATTTTTGTCATTCAGAGCAACGAAATTTGCCTTCTCGAGAGTTCTTTTGAGAGTGGCTTCCCACTCATCTTTCAAAATAAGATTTAACACCGCCATAATGGTTTTAAAATAATTCACCCCCAACCACTTACTCAATTCTTCAAGGCTTAAAGAGAATATTTGATATGCACAAGATCCCTCAGGCTATTCCTGAGTTTGATAGCTTTGAGTTCTTCACACCCCTAGTTGGAAAACGAGCAGTTATCAGCCTCTTGAAAGGCTAGCAAAAGAAATATTTCACATCTCGTGCGGCAAGGATGGGACTTAAACATTGAGCCAAGCGACAAGGATATAACAGTGTTTTATGACCAATCGCAAACTCCTAAGCTCATCAAGTTCTTGTGCTCTTAGAGGAAAAAAAATGATATGAGAATGCTCTCCATGAGCCTACATTCCAAGTGAAAGAAGCAATATGAAATAGAGGCCATCTTGGAATCACTACAATAATGAAGTGTGCACAAAGGAAAGATGTTATTAGTGAAGAGATCGCCAATAAAGACTGAGAAGAAGAAGAAAGAGAACATGAAGCGGCAATCGAGAAGAAAAGGAAGTTAGGTCTTATTCTAACTGAAGGAGTAAGGAATGACTCATCCTACTGGCTATTAGCAATTACATTTAAGGGGTAGAGCCAAGGCAATTCAAGCGAGTCATCTCAAAGACTGAAGCGAAAGGTCGGATACTTTCAAATGCCAATTAGCAAGAACTAAAAGGAGAGGAGTGATGTAAATATTATATTGGACTCAGATTCCTAAACAACAAAAGCCATGGAAGAGTTAGTTGATGCGACTAATGAAGGGAAGTCAAGGACTTCCCTAACTCTCCCGTGACAAAAGAAACAAATAAGAGGGTGAGAATGAGGTTCCTAAGAAAATTTAAAGAGATCCTATAATGGGTGAGGACATGCAGTCTTGCGCTCTTCCTCTACACAATGTGCCTCTAAGAAAGCTGCGCTCTTCCTCTACACAATGTGCCTCTAAGAAAGCTAAACTTTTGTCCCCTCGACATCAATGTGGTGAATGCAACGTGATTTCAAGAATTACTTTATTAAAATGATCACTTAACACCACAAGAACTAATCATAAAAAGCTATTCAAACCACCCTATGCATGCATTATTATATTCAATCAAGCAAGCAAGCACAAAAGTTATGGACGTAGCTATAAGAGACAAAGGGAGGAGTGAAGAGATCAGGGGTAGAAGGAGATGCAAACGAAGCAATAAGAAATGTGGGCAGAGCAATAGGTGATGCAGGTAGCGGTAGATGATATGAAGGGAGCAATATGTGATGTGAATAGAGCAATAGGAGACATGCATGAGAAGTCACAAAAATTGATTCTTCCAATCTTTGCCTCCATGGAATTTATGAGCCAATTCATGAGAATAGACATCTTAAATTCCTAAGGTTTATAATTTGATGCATCTTCTGATGGTTGACTTATGGTTCCCGACACATATCCGACCTTCCCTCCTCCTCTTATCACAAGCATGATTGGTTGGAGTCATTCATGAATATTAATTCCATTAAGCTTATGTTGAGTGATTGACCTTCATAAATAGTACGAAAATTTGATCCATTATCGACGCTTGTGAACATCGTGCTTCTAGTAGATGATAGTCCCTCAGCTGCATTCCCATCATGGCCTGTTATGATCACATCCTGACTTTGGACTAATGCTCAGAACCTCGCTCTAATGCCACGAACAATGTATATTTTCTTAGAGAATAATTTCTCTCATATCATTTATGCTAAATTACAAGGCATACATGCAAATTTACATCCAAAATAGTAAAGGAACTATAATAGAAACTAGGTAATTAATATATGGAGTGTATAATTGCCATCATTAGAAAATAAAAACAGCAGGGAATAGATGGCAAGATGATAAGAAATACTTGAGTTCGCAAGTAACCCTAGTGGGAAATACTTGAGTTCTCAAGCAACCCTAACAAGAATAGGTGAAAACAGCGAGAAAACTTCAAGATCTCCAATAAAACAATCCAAAAACAGTAAATTATATTATAGGAATAAAATCAAAGGCAAAGAACAAGCAAAGATACAATTGATCCTCAATTCGAGAGGAGGGTCGTTCTCTCCCAATCTCTAGATGATGAATCTAGAGCCCAAAGCCACCAACTGAACTCCAAGAGAAAAAAATAATCATGCAGGCCCAAACCCTAGCCTCTCATGTTTTTTAAATATAATTCTTCCTAATAAAAAGATTCCTAACATAAACTAATTTCAAATTTACTTCCTTAAGCATTAGCCGCCCCTTTCATCTTTCTGATTGCTGCCCTGGGGGGGAAGGGGGTAACATTAAGAATGCGGCTTAGCCCGCCTCCTATAAACCTGAACTGGCCCCTCCTAGGCCGGTTTGGTTGGTTTGGTTCTAGGGAGAACCGTAACACAAGAATTGATGTTTGGGGTGAAGGAAGTTATACAAAAAATTAACCATTTTATGGCAGTATTCAATAGTACAATTTAAGGGAGAAAACATGCGAGTGCCAATGAAAATTCCAACACATTATAAGGCAGGAGTAGGCCCCACTAGTTGAGAGAATTTGGAGCATTTGAATTTGAATTGATTTCTTGGTTTAGGAGAAAGGCAGCCATAATATCTTCCATATTTACCAATACATCATGCTCATTGAAAAGGTTTAGTTGTTTGGCAATATATTAGCAGTCTTATTAGAAAAAGTTTCTAGTGTGCCTTATCGATTAAAAAGCATACTTCTTAAACAAAACGACAAGATTAGACAAACTTCAATAAAACGCTAATAAAAAATAGCTGTGTTGTTTTGTTTCTTGTTGATGCATCATCGTTATTCTCACCATTATTCTTATCCTAACTATTTGGGGAATCATCATTTCCAATAATTCTTGCAAAGTACTGCGTATAAATTGACACCCGCCCAAAGAACAAGATGCGGCATTTATTACATCAACTATAGAAGGTCAAAGCTAAGTAACGCAAGTTCTGCTTCTTTCTTTAATTTTAAGGAAATTTTATCCATGCAATAATAGATCCAAAGCTGAACTTCACATAAAAAACCAAGAAGATATGCAGCCGGTATGTCAACAAAACAAAATTTCTTTGACCAGGCCAATCCAGGTGATCCTTCAACATAACGCAAGGAGAAATTTTTCACACAATCATAGCTAAATCTAAAATAAAAAGACATAGCAATAGAGAGAAAGATCGAAACAGCAAAATAAATACGTAAAAACACTTTATATTACAGCACAAATAAGGTTCCACCAGTAAGATGGATATAATCGGACAAGGATTAATAATCCATAGAAAATAACTGCCAAAAGTAAAATTATAAGCGAGGCAAAAATCTGTTGTAATCTATATAAGAAATGTAAGAAAGTTAAGAAAAGCCTTTCTTAACTTGGTTTGCTCGATTACCTGCAAGTTTTATCAAATCCAAATCTAGCACCAAAATAAAATGCCACGGAAAGTAACCATGCATCACTATGCACAGCCACTAATGCCAACCAATCTTTTTCTTGCATACCATCTCTAGCAAAGTTAATGCCAAGAGCAGGATCAGGAATCTCAGGTGGAACCTCCTCTGAAGGCAAACTAACTTCCCATTGCTCATTTGGATGCCCATAAAGGCACAAGTTTTCCTTCTCTGCAAGAAGCGTCTAATTAAGAAAAACTGGTAAAAACAGCAAGAACTGTCTATATATATATATATATATATATAACCATTAAACCATCTTCAATAAGCTTCATAGTGCATTTAACTAAGATACAACATAATGGGCTACACAGCTACACTACATAGTTCACTAAACCAATTTTTAAGCCAAATAAAAAAAAGGTTTCAATATAACGATGGAACTTCAATATATAATAAAGGTTAAAATGCCACTCACATAAAAAAAGTATCAAAACAAAGCTTACTGAACAATCCCAAGGAGAATTTCGCATCATTTGCATAGATTTCAAATATCACAAGAAACACTAAGGATTTTTAAAATAGAGATATCATCTAATAAGACTTTTTTGAGCTCGCCTAAGCTGACAGGAAAACCCTTTAAGCCAAGGCACTTTGATAGCATATGTCCCATACGTTTGTGTATCATCCAGGCATACAAAGCATGCCTTTTACACCTTGATGGGGAAGTTTCCACTACTAATAACATAATGGGTTCCCATAGTAGAAGGTTAAATCCATGATCAACTAAATTGACATGATTTCAAGGTCAAACAACTTAACCCAAGCCATTTCTAAGTCAATTAATTTTGATTCAAACTAAAATTAATTGACATAATCTCTTATTCATCTAACATAAGCAAATAAAACTGACCGCACATCTCTATTGTCTCCTAAACCTTCTTTACTGCTTATAGCACTTGAAGGGCAAGGAGTTTGAAGAGTACTCATAATTAGCCTTAACACAGCTATATGGGATCATCTTTAAGAATCCTAACTTTTCATTCACTCTTGTTAAGTGTTGCCTAAGATGTAAAACATGTTCTTTGCAAATTAGTCATTAGATTGGTAATGACCTTTCTAATTCAAAGTATTTTGAGAGATCAACGATAAACTAAAGTCATAATCAATGGCTTTAATGAGTCATTCTTGAATATATAAATAAGTTTTGTATGGATGCTCATGAATACTTAAGCATTTAAGTATATTGATTATATTCTTCACATGAATGTTTATGAACTCTATTAAAACTAATCATTTTCATTTCTTCCTATTTCTAATAATTTATGATGTACCGACAGGTCCAACACACTCACTTAAGGAGGTATGCAATGTTCGACATGTGTAGCACATGGACACCCACCTAACACAGCTCTGACTTATGTAGGACACGGCAAAGACATGTCCAATTAAAATAATATTTAAAAAAAATCAAACATACGTATCCTAAATATTTTATCAAAAATTTATTTTAAATAGACTTTCTTTTTTTTTAAATAACTTCTTAAGAAATTATTTTTTAAATATAATTTTTTACTTATCCATCAATAGAAAATTCAAACACATCCCCCGCATCCCACAAACATTTCCTTTGTGACTTGCAGCTTGGGTTTACTTCGACAATGAAGATTATTGAATAGTGAATCTTTTATGCTTATTTTTTATATCATAAGGTACACAACTATTTATGAAATATTCAGCTTTACAAAATCAAAGTTAGAATTCAATTATTTATCATTTCTTTAGTATTCTTAATATTCCACTTATTTAATTTTTTCATTTTTTGTACTATTTTTGTAAGACTAGTCCAATTCAACCGAACTGGATCTTGCACTAAGCAAGCGAACGGAACCGCTAATGAAGCAGGACAAGAGAACTAGAAGAACGTACCAACGCAAGCACAAATGCTTCAGAAGGGATCAGATCGTGGGATTGAATGAGGAAACGTGTACGAGAGTGAAAAGCAGCGACTTCTCGTGTGAAATATCTCTGATCAGCTCACTCCATTTGAACCGCACGAATAGAAGAGGCTATGAAGAGGTGGCTAACTAAGAGGAGGAAGAAGGAGAAGGAAGGCTCCATTATTGGCGTCGAGGGAGACCAAGAGAGTACAAAAGCTAGGGAGAAGGATCGAGCAAACAAGCGAGCAAGCTAGGGCGGATAGATTTTTATGTGAGGAGCATTGTCTAAAATTGCATAGTATGAGGCTCGCCTTGAGTCTCAGCTTACCTTGAGGTCCGCCTCTACGCAATTCCAGTGAAAAATGTTTCCAGACTTACCAGTGTGAGGCATACGCCTTATCCGATTTATATATTATTTTATTAAAACTTACCTAAATCATAAACTAAAGCCCCGAACAAATATGCCTTCATGCACCCCAGAACCGCAGCAACTTCCTCTCGAACGCCTCGACTTTCAGCCCACCGCATTTGTTGTATCCATCACCATCATAGCCACCCACGGGAATCAATGGAAGGTCACACACCACCATCTCCTCTAAAAATTTTAGAGTATTATTCTCATCTTTATATTGATGACAAATATTTATGAAAGAGAAATATTATTAAAATAAATGAAGAAGAAACAATATATTAAGAGGCATTGAATTCCACAAGATAAGTTAGGGGAGAGACTAATTTGTTGTGACGACGGTGCAGATTACTTATGAGTTTTTATCAATTATGTAAGTTATTTAAGAATTAAATGTGGATGAGTGTGGAACCGAGAAAGAAGAAATTTGAAGTTGAACTTGATGTTATAAGATATTTTTACGTAATTCCTATATTTCATATTATTTTGCTCTTGTAATATTTGAACTTTAATTCTATTTCACGCAATTTACCAATTGTCACTTTACACCTTGTACAATTTTTTATTTAATATGTATGTCAATTTGTTATTTTATAGTTCAATAAAAAGTTAATATGTCATTATTTAACATTTTATTTGGGTATTATATAAAAAATCAATTTTAACATTTATTTTCACTTTATGCAATTTTTGGATTTTGAGGCTTATGCCTCGCTTCACGAAAAAAAATGTCTCAATACCCAATTGCGCAATTTTAAACTTTGATGAGGAGTTCAAGGTATGTTTTGTTATGGAAATTGTATTCAAAAAATTTATTTTAAAATTTTTAACATATCTTTTGAAATTAAACATGAAAATAATAGGTTTTTCATATAGGCGCAAAATCGATCAATGTGTGAAAAAGGACAAATAGTAAAGTATCTCAATACCAAAGTTCAATATGAGTACTCATGTCTCTTTAATTACATTAATGATTTTATCTCTCTTATAAATTAAATGCATCAAAAAATAGTAACACCTCTTTATCAAGTCTTTATTGCAAGCTAGATTATGATTTATCATTTTCATATCCAATGATTGGTCACGTTGAATGAAATGAAAATTAATATGTTATATAAAAAATAAATGAATGATATATGAATGAAATGGTTAAGATGGATATGCTTGCATATGCATGTTCACTGATAGAGCACATTCCCTTATGGTACTAGCTGGGGACGCAAAGTACCTGTGCACCTAAATGAAAATAGAGTACCTTCATTGGTATTATTTTAGACGGTGACTCCAGTAACAGTTTTATTATTTATGAGAAAGGATAAATATATGGATAAAGATATGATATATGCATAACATAGAAATTCTTGAAATGATGATTAAATAAAATTTCTTTATGTTTTGAAATGATCATGCATATTGTTCCTAATGCCTTGGGTTACTGTAGTTTAGAAGCATGATTTACTCACTGAGTTCTTTTATGGCTCACTCCTAAATTTATAAATGAACAAGTATTATTCAAAGCTTAAAATAAGTAGAAAAGATGAAAATATTTATCGTAGGCAAGTCGCTCCGAGTGAAAAGTACTTAAATCTTTTAGTTTAAAAATTTTTGAGGATTTAGTGGCTCTTTCAACTTAATGATGATAGATTTAACAAATAAAAATTTAATTAACCATCTGATCATCTGTTTCCGTCTCATTAATTCAAACCTCCGGGCCAGGTCATGACAAATTTTAAGATATAAAAATTATAATGATATATCCAAGCCCTATCCATGTCGTATATTGTCAATAATTAATGGATTTCAAGTCTATGTCATATCTTGTTTGTGTATGTGCAACCTAGCTAATAATCATCGCCCGATAAGATTAAATCAAAAGGATTTTTGAAATTGTCAAGCTAATATGTTTTGCTAATTATGTCAATTTATTGATTATATTACACGTCTTTTTGACTTGTGGTTTATTATTTAACAAGTAATCTTTACCTATTTAGTTAGTTCTTATGAACTCAAACAAATTGATTTTGTGATTTTCAATTTTTTAACATCACTGAGGGGAGAGTTTCAAGATTCTTGCTCCAAGCATCATGGGAGATGCTTAAAACTATAAAGTTATTAATTTGATTAAATAGAGTATTTATATTTTCTTGCATGAATATTTGCATAGTTCCATCTATTCCTTGGTAGATAATTTGGTAGCTGTAATTGGATTTAGATATCTGATCATTTACATTGTGGATTATTATCATTATGGATTGGTTATTAGTCATTGGAATAACTACAATGTCACTAGCATACCCTATCATGCCAACATGTTATAAAAATATTCCAAGGTTGATCACCAAATTGTCAAACACGATCATATATCTTCTTGAGATCAATAAAAATTATATGAACTCGTTTATTCTATATACTTTTCATTAATTGTCTTAACATAGAAGTCCCTTCCTTGGTAGATCTTCATAGCATGTAAGCACACTAGTTTTTCAAAACTGACTTAATTTTTCTAACTCCACATCACATCACTCTTTCACATTGCTTCATAGTCTAACACACAAGTTTGAATCCTCTATAATTATTACAATTTAAACTATTACTTTATTCTTAAATATTGGTAAAATAACTTCTCTAAGAATTATAGTATCCCCCAAATCTCTACAAAACTCACTAAGGATCTTTATTGGACCAAAAAAACTAACTTATGAATCTTCTTCAAAGTAAAACTCCAACTCATTATTTTAAATCAAATATAATATACCTCATTATATAATTTATTATACTTTTTCAAAATGCTTGCTTCTTTAAAACTGTCATTTAAGAATAGCTCAAATAAATTTCTACATCTTTCAAACGTTACAAGCTTGTGTTGAAGCTGATCCTAGAAGGTCTTCATTTACATTTTTACCCGTACTGTTATCATATAATTTTATTCTAATAATTATATAGATTTTTTTAATCATGCTTTTTAAAAAGTATTTTAAAGAGAAAATTTGAGGGCTACTCCCATCTTATGCCTCCAAAACACCCCTTATAACTCACTTATGCAAGTTCACAGGCATGCTATTAGAGAACTTTGGATGCATTTCTTTCTTCTCCAAGCTTCACTGTTTGCACAATTTAACTCTCCACTTCACACTAGCAATCTCTCTTTCATGTCAACATCCTTGATTAACTCATGTATGGTTCTATACCACTATGAGTTTCCGTTTAGCACTCAAAGAAATAACTAGACCATATTTGACGAAGATATTCTTTGATTGCATGTGATGACATCTCTTGCATTTTTATGACTTGAAGCATGGGTTTCTAGTTCCTGGGAATTGAATAATAAGACAGAATGTAATGCCATTCTAATAGCCTGACATTAAAGTCATGGAATGAGTACATCCTGGCCATCTGAGGTGTATATACAACTACTTAAACGGATTAAATTCAAATCAGAAGAACTGGGGGTAGATATTGCTTCACACCAATACACCAATCAACCATCTTCTTTTTTACACTCTTACTTTACACCCTTTCCCTTCCATTAGAGAAGTCCTCAACCAAAAACAGATTTTTTTCTGGTTACTATTGTTAAATTTCTATGCTCCATTTACATCTTTTCCATTTTTGAAGAAAAATAATAAGTGCTACTATAATGACTGCAACATGGGTTCCAAGAATCTATCAAAAAGATTAATTTCAAACATTGATTACTATCAATGTTGCTAATGTATCTATATCATCATATAGTGTGTCACTCTATTTAGTAGCCATCAATGATACGATAAGCACGTCCTATATGTCTTAAAACAAATGAAGGATCAATATGCTAAAATATAAATTACAGTCAATGATAAATGGTTGAAGGAATGATCAGATGACGTTCATGAAGGAAAATTGCACATAGGCTAAAGGAAAAATGTTAAATCTAAACTGGATGAAAAAAGCACTCACCAGAAAGAGGGACGCCAATTACAATACTGAACTAAAGCACTGTATTCTGTCACTAACTTTTTAATCTTTTATGTTATAACTTCCAACATTAGAGGAAACGTGGTGGATCGCTATGGTATAAAAAACAACAACAGAAGTGCTTGGCTTGAATTATACAAACACAATTCCTGTATAAAGCAATCTCAATGCATTATTCAATTCTAAATAAAAAAAATACACAAATAAACAGTTGTCCAATGCGCCAAATACAGGGAATATATTTACTCTTTGGTCATCATTAGTTTAAAATATGGTATGTTCATATAAAGCCATTTCATTAATCCCTCATGGTCTGACCAGAACAATGTTCCAAAAAGAAAACAACAAAAAAGACTGCAGAACAAGAATAGCAGATAAAACCTAAATTCCAAAGGAAAAAAACATGGCTTTTAAACTTTTTATCAGGAGTCTTACGCAATGCGATATATAAATAATCAATCAAAAATTATATTTCATATCTAACAATAAATCAAATCTTCCGGAATCAATCCAACTGAAAAAAAAAATTGGCAAATTCGCTATCGATGGCTCTCAACATCACTGAATTTACTTTGAATGAGTGAAATACATGATAATTAATAAAACAATTTATATTACACCCATCTCATAATAAAAATAGCAGCTTTTATATCCGAAATACGGTAAAGAATTCTGAACCTTTTTTTTTTCTAAGTTACCTGCACCAAGGACCTACGAAAAAAAAAAAATTCAAAAAGGATTAAGCTTGGAGCCAGAGATTCTCACCAGGGTCGCACAGCTGAAAGAATTCATCCACATCTACGTCAAGCAAACAAAACCCAAGTCAAGTCAGATTTCTGAAATTACAAAAATGCCCAAATAGAATAAACGATTGCCATTTGTCTCTCTCGAGAACAGGACAAAAACCTAGGAAAATAAGTGAGGGGAAAGGGGATGTCACCAGTAGTTAGAGCCTTGATAACCGCGGCCCGCCGAGCCTTATAATCTCGGAAGACTTCCTCCACCGTCCGCTGGGTGTATTGTCCCGCTCCTCCGTCCATTTTGTCAGCGAGGCTAGAGATCAAGAGCTAACTTCTACTGAAGCCAAAAAGACGAGCGCGAAGGAGAGTGGAAGATGGGAGGCAGGAAAATTACTTAGAAAAGGAGGGAAGAATAAATTTGACCACCGAGCGAGCGAGCGAGCGAGTCCAAAGCAGACAAAAGGAAGGTGAGGTTGGACATGAAAAAGTCGAAAATACGACAGTTTAACTGCATTGGAGAGAATTGGGAGGAATCCGCTATTCCAATTTCCAAGTTTTGTACTTTCTTTCTTTGGGGTAGGGTCGGTAGACATTACCAATTTCGTACGACTGTGCGCATAGAATTAACGTGCGGTCACATAGAGGCAAGCTGATAAGAACGAAGAACCACTGTGTTAGGTACTATGACGTACATAATTAAATATCATGCAGATAAATTATGTCTTTAAATTAAATTTAAGATGTCCCAAAAAATTTTAAATTTAACGGTCCTTTAATTTATTACGTGTTAAAATTTTTGAGTTAGTAGAAAGTGTATATTTTACGTCTCAGTATTTTACAAAAATTGAGCACGCACAAATAAAAATATTAAGAATAAAAATTATTACGTGGAAAATCGGGAAAGAAAAAAGAAACTATCGGTCTGACTTAGTTAAAATACTCACTATATAGCAAGTAATACAAAAATTCTTATTTCTTCATTGTTAAAGAAAAAAGAGATTAAACATATGTCTGATTTTTCTTGAGGGAGATTGTAAAAATCAAGTGTCCATATAGGAATAGTTGACACTCAACAATAGGATTTGATTTCTCCAACAGAGAGTATAAAAAACAGGTGTCCATATGCATACAACTAAATTAATAGCTTGGTTAAATATTCTCAATATTCTGGATATAAAGGTGATTTCTGATGTTTGTTAGTGACGATGGTTGGAAAATGAGAGAGAGTTCTCTTTAATTCTTTATATTTTTCTTCCCCTTCGCGTGAAGAATGGGATAATATTTATAGTTTTTTTTAGATGGGCATTTTGGTAATTTGAATTAGAATCCAAAAAACTTCACCATATGGCTCATATTAATTACATTGATTGTGTAGCTTTCATTTAGCATTTAAGTGTCTTAATAATGTCATAATTGAGCGATTTTGGGCCCATTAGATTCGTCGAATTACTGGATTTGACTATAATCTGTCTAATTTGGATATCATTTGATCATCCAATTAATGTTAGAAGTTTCCAATTATGCTTTAAATGATCCATTTTAATTATGCTTCAAGTGCTTGATTTGGCATCCTTTTTGGCTTCAGTAGAAGTTAGCTCTTGATCTCTAGCCACGCTGACAAAATGGACGGAGGAGCGGGGCAATACACCCAGCGGACGGTGGAGGAAGTCTTCCGAGATTATAAGGCTCGGCGGGCCGCGGTTATCAAGGCTCTCACTACTGGTGACATCCCCTTTCCCCTCACTTCTTTTCCTAGGTTTTTGTCCTGTTCTCGAGAGAGACAAATGGCAATCGTTTATTCTATTTGGGCATTTTTGTAATTTCAGAAATCTGACTTGACTTGGGTTTTGTTTGCTTGACCTAGGTGTGGGTGAATTCTTTCAGCTGTGCGACCCTGGTGAGAATCTCTGGCTCCAAGCTTAATTCTTTTTGAAAATTTTTTTTTTTTCGTAGGTCCTTGGTGCAGGTAACTAAGAAAAAAAAAATGGTTCAGAATTCTTTACCGTATTTCGGATGTAAAAGCTGCTATTTTTATTATGAGATGGGTGTAATATAAATTGTTTTATTAATTATCATGTATTTCACTCATTCAAAGTAAATTCAGTGATGTTGAGAGCCATCGATAGCGAATTTGCCAATTTTTTTTTTCAGTTGGATTGATTCCGGAAGATTTGATTTATTGTTAGATAAATGAAATATAATTTTTGATTGATTATTTATATATCGCACTGCGTAAGACTCCTGATAAAAAGTTTAAAAGCCATGATTTTTCCCTTTGGAATTTGGGTTTTATCTACTATTCTTGTTCTGCAGTCTTTTTTGTTGTTTTCTTCAGACCATGAGGTATTAATGAAATGGCCTTATATGAACATACCATATTTTAAACTAATGATGACCAAAGAGTAAATATATTCCCTGTATTTGGCGCATTGGACAACTGTTCATTTGTGTATTTTTTTTTTATTTAGAATTGAATAATGCATTGAGATTGCTTTATACAGGAATTGAGTTTGTATAATTCAAGCCAAGCACTTCTGTTGTTGTTTTTTATACCATAGCGATCCACCACGTTTCCTCTAATGTTGAAAGTTATAACATAAAAGATTAAAAAGTTAGTGACAGAATACAGTTCTTTAGTTCAGTATTGTAATTGGCGTCCCTCTTTCTGGTGAGTGGTTTTTTCATCCAGTTTAGATTTAACATTTTTCCTTTAGCCTATGTGCAATTTTGAATGCCTAGAGAAAAACAGGAGCTCCGCTAGGGTTTTTCCTTTTTCCGCCGCCTTGTGCTTTCCCCTCTGCTGGGAGGGCTCCTCCCTCCTCCGATGGCTGCTTCTCCGGATTTTCCTCCTCTTCCTACCGCCTCTGTTCTAGGCGCTTCTCCCACCAGCCTATCTTACGCTGAAAATGTCTCTGCTTCTGCACCGAAACCTCGTCCTTTCCCGGTTTCTTTCTTCTCCCCCGGACAGAAGAAACTCTCTTTTACTACTAATGATCTCTCTGAAGGCAAAGCTATTTGGAACTCTGCCCTCATAGGCTATGTGACGCCCTAAGATCTAACTTGGAAAGAATGTCAATCAATTCATCAACAATTTACCAGAGCTATCTATATCCTCAATCAAACAGTCTAGCAAAAATCTATAACATTTAAAACATCAAAATACAAGTCGATTCATATTTCAAAAGATCATATACAATACTCAGGAACTACACTATGATCAGAACTGAAATCTATCATGTCCTGAGTACAAAAGAATCACTATAACCAAAAGAACAAAAACCTGGAGATTCCTGATCAACCTCAATCTCCTGCTCCCTTGCCTTGACCTGAAAATATTAACCACATATAATGAGCTTCAAAAAGCCCAGCAGGTCACCTAATACCTATAACTGAAATCAAAGCACGGTACTGGAAACAATATGCATGTCAGTCAATCAAATCCAGAACAGTCTATTGCACATGATCAATGAATCTATGCAAATACGGAAATCAAATCAATAGTCAATGCAGCAGTAGAAAAAAAAAATCAATAAATAGTAGCAAATCAGTCGATCAGTCAAATCAATCGTATCAAATCGAATCAATCAAAACAATACTATCTGGTCAATTAAATCGATCGAAATCAATACAATAAAGCCCAGTCTATACCAGCAATGAATCAAATGCAGCAGTTCAATACAGTGTAGAATCAATAGTATCAATGAATCAATTACAGCATTCATATCCATATAGTATCTATAACAGTAGTAATGCGCAGTGACAGAATATAAATCTTGATGAAATCGTATGCTAACAATAAGTTCGTAAATCCATCGGTAAAACTAAATCAATAAAGCAATAAATCCATCATGAGTCAATGCCGTACACATGCATTTCAACACAATAGTCTTACTGAACAAGTACAATCACTGGCTATTCGATAATTCATAGTGTTGTTGTAGAAATCCATAGTGTTGTTGTAGATATCCACACGTTGGTTCAATAAGAGTCGTCACTCTTTGCCCGTCGGCTGCCCGTCGGCATATTAAACTCTTTATGACTCCCAATCGTTATATCAATGATCAATAGTTTAAAGGAAAGCCCGTCGGCCCACCATCCTATACAGGTCAAGTCGATATCCAACCAACGGTTCAACCAGGTTCCACTTGTCTTTCAGTATTCAGTAATCAGATAGTCACATTCGCATGCATTCAAATCATCAATTTCAGAAAAATCGAAAATCGTACGAAAATCCAGCGGCATAACGGCAGTATACGGAATTTACACAAAAATTCCTAAAAATAAAAAATTACCAAATTAATACAGAACGTGCACAACATCAATATAAGACTTTTATTCTACTAAAGCAACATCAATCAACAACCTGATATTTATCTATTCGATCAAAATCGCACAGAACCCAAAATAACCGATAGAATCGTTACAGAAAATACTCAAAACGTGTAGAAAAATCATATCAATAACATATCAAAAGTACTTGTGCGGTGAAAGTTTCGTCAATACAAAACAGTGCGCGTTTTTCGGTAACGAAAATACAATTCTGAGCACAAAACGATCAAAACTCAACATCTTCGAAAACAAAAATAGGATTCGGAGTCCTTACCTCGAGATAAACAATCCCTCCAACAACGGCGACGGGCGAAAAGCGCTCCGCGGCCTCCGAAATCCGGCTTTTTCCTTTGCTTTTCTTATCTTTCTCTCTCCTCAGTTTTTTTTTATAAAATGATTTTCTCTCTCTTCAAAACGAGCTGATTTTCTTTTAAAAACAAGTCTGATCGTCCCGGCCGATCACCACATCGTCCAGGACGATGTGAACAAAATTCAATCGTCCAGGACGATATCTCAGGACGATAATTAATGTTTTGCTCTCGGGATTTTTGTCTTATCTGATCGTCCCAGGACGATCCAAAATCGGCCTTGACGATCCATTCCAGAAAAATCAGCTGTTTCAATGCACTGATCATTCTGGACGATCTCAATATGGTCCCGGACGATCCTGGGAGGAAAAATCAGATCTTAGAAGGCAAATCAAAGGAACGAGCTCTCACATGCTACTCTCTTGGTCCCCGACCTTATTATGAGTGCCTCTTAAAAGCGATGCAGAAGCTTTGGCCTTTGAAAGGTTCTATGACACTGCTTTCACTCGCTGATGGTTTTTTCCTTTTGAAGTTTTCCACCTCTGAGGATCTTGAAGCCATTCTGTCGGGAGGCCCTTGGTTTTTACTGGGCAAGCCTTTCATCCTTCAATGTTGGTCCCCGAAATTCAAGCCAAAAAGAGATGAAGCGGCGCCGATTCCTCTTCTGATTAAGATTGTTGACTTCCCCTTAGCTCTTTGGACCCCCACGGGCATTTCTCGTATCGCTAGTTACATCGGTGTTCCAATCTCCGTCGACACTCTTACGGCAAACCGCACCAGGTTAACCTTCGCTAGGGTATGTGTTCTCATCTCTAAAGATTCTGAACTACATGCTGAAATTCCTATTGAGATTGATGGTGAGGATTTAGTCTTGTCTGTGCTTTATGATTGGAAACCGGACAAATGCGAAGGATGCGGTTCGTTTATTCATCCGTTCTCCCTCTGTCCCAAAAACCCCAACCCTCAACCTGTTCTACCTCCTCAGCCATCGAAAAATCGTGGTCGCAGTTCTTCTACGACGAGACTAAACCAAACACACAGATCTCAATCCAGAAAACCACAAAAATCTGTTACTATAGATACCAATCTTCTCTCTACCTCTGGCCTAGTTATAAATAACCACCCGGATCCTCCTATGCTGCCTCAGGAACCGGCGATCAAAGAATTCCATCCTCCCAGCACAACTCCTCCTCTCCCCAATCTTAATTCGCCTTCAGAAGTTTCTTCATCTTCTGATCTTTTAGCCCATTTTGGCACTCTTCAAGCTCCTAATATTCCGTTGATTAATAAGTTTGCTTCTTTGCAAATGGAAGAAAGTTTGCTGTCTAATGATGATGAACCGAGTATGGATATTGTTTCTTCTTCCTGTTCAAAATATGCTGATGAGCCACCTGATCACAGTGACTCGGATATTGTGCCGCCCAAACACAAATCTACCTCAGACAAAGCCAAGTCTTCTCCCAAGGTCAAACCTCCTAAAGGAAAGTCGGCCAAGAAGGCCAAATCTTCTAAATCATAATGTCCTTACCCAACTTTGCCAGTTGGAACGTTAGGGGGCTCAATAACCCGGACAAAGTTGGTTTTTGTAAGTCTCTGATCAATTCTCATGATCTCAAAATGCTTTGTATTCTGGAAGCTAAAATTTCTCAGTCTTTGTTGGATGATTCTTGGTTTTTGAATTCTCACTTACTCTTTGAGAATGAATGCAGTTGTAATAACTTCAATGACGCTTCTCCTGGTAGAATTTGGCTTAAATGGGACTCCTCCGTCTTCACTTTCAACACCTTGATTACCTCCCCCCAGCTTATTCATGGTGTTCTCTCAGCGGGTTCTTTCCCTCCCATCTTTCTATCGGTGGTTTATGCTTCTAATAGTTTGGAGGAACGTAGAAGTTTATGGAATCTTCTGGTTGATTTAATTCCTCCTTCGGATAAACCCTGGGTTATTCTGGGTGATTTTAATTGCTGCAGATTCGACACTGAAAAAGCGGGTGGTTCCACTCTTTCTGACTTTAGACTGGGTGAATTGAACAACATGGTTTTTAATTGCGGTGTGCAAGACCTTTCCTCTACAGTTCTCTTTTATACTTGGTATAATCAAAGGGTGGATGACCCGATACACATTAAGCTTGACAGAGTTCTGGTAAACCCTGCTTTACTGGATTATTTACCTTTAGCCTATTACAAAGTGGATTCTCCTCTTGGTTCGGACCATTCCCCATTAATCTTCATGCCCTCTCATGTTAAACCTATTTCCTCTAGGTTTTTGTTTAAAAACTATTGGATCAATATGGATGATTTCTTGGATGAGGTGTTCACTGCTTTTGCTTCTAGATCTTCCAAAAGTCCTCTTGCCTCTTTTTTTCATAGCTTGCATTCTCTCAAGAGGTCTATTAAGAACAAGAATTGGCCTTCCGCTTCCTTCATCTCCAATTCCATACTTGATCTTAAGTCTAAGCAACTTAACTGCCTTCTTGAGATTCAAAATCAGCCACTTAATTTGGATCTTAACACCAATTTGATTGGCATTAATGATCAACTTGCTGCTCTTCAATCTCATTGGTTTTCCTGGATTTCTCAAAGCGCAAAAGCCCTATGGCTTACACATGGTGAAGATGATCTCGGTTTTTTATTCGCCAAAATCAGGAGCAAAAACAATAAAAATTGCATTAAAGAAATTACTACCTTTGAGGGTCATTTCTTCTCTCATGCTGAGGTTTCTAAGGCTATTGTTAAACATTTCAAGGATCTTTACAATCCTCTCAATGTTTTCATAGCTCCTTCTTCTCAAATTCCTCCTGGCAAGATGGTCCCCGACCAATTTCATAGCATGCTGGTGGCTCCGGTTTCTTTTGAAGAGGTTAAATTGGCGGTTTTTTATGGTAATATGAACTCAGCTCCTGGTCCGGATGGTTTTTCCTATGCTTTCTATAGGAAATCTTGGCATATTATTGGTATCAAGTGTTTAATGCGGTTAATAACTTTTTCACAAGTTGTTCTTTACCCAAGGGTGTCAAGGCCACTGCTATTACTCTAATCCCCAAGTGCTCACATGCTACTCATATAAATGATTACAGGCCCATCTCTCTTTGTAATGTCCTCTATAAAATTGTGGCTAAGATACTTGCTACAAGACTGAAAGCTGTTCTCCCCATGATTATCCATGAGAGCCAATCAGGTTTTATTGCTAATAGGTGCTCTACTGACTATATTATTTTGGCTTCTGAGATTCTTAGAGATTTCAAGGGCTCTGGTAAAAAGTTTTGTGCTAAGCTTGATATCAAAAAGGCTTTCGACTCGATTTCTAGAGATTTTTTGATTTCTAGATTGATTCAAAAAGGTTTCCCTGCTAATTTTGTCTCTTGGATCAAAGGCTGCATTTCGGAGGTGCACTTCTCTGTCTGTCTTAATGGATCTCTGGAAGGATTTTTTCCTTCCTCTTCGGGTCTCCGTCAGGGGTGCCCCCTATCTCCTCTATTATTTTGCATTGTTATGGATGGTCTTTCTAATATTCTCCTTAATGAGTCTAATACCTTTTGCTTCAGAGGTATTAACACTAGAGAGATGTATTTAAATCATCTTATGTATGCTGACGATCTCCTCGTTTTTGGAGTTGCTTCTAGGGAGAATGCCTTGGGCCTTAACAAATGTTTGCATCTGTTCGGTTCTACCTCGGGACTTCATATCAATCCCTCCAAAAGCTCTATTTTTTTTTTCTAATAATATCAATGAGGAGCAAGCTATTTGTGATACTCTGGGGATTCTACAAGTTAATACTTTCTTCATCTATTTGGGTCTACCCATATCTACCAAGAGGCTAAAATCTACTCACTTCCAACCACTCCTGAGCAAAGTTTCTGCTCTACTTGCTGGTTGGAAAATTAAGTTTCTTTCTTTTGCATGTAGGGTTCAATTTCTAAAATTTACCATATCCAATACCATTGCTTATTGGATCAGGGGCTCTATATTACCTAAATCTTGTTGTGCCACCTTAAACAAGTTATGCTCGAGATTCCTTTTTCATAATAACCTCTTAGAGAAGAAATTGCATCTCATTGCTTGGTCCAAAGTTACAACCCCAAAATATGCTGGTGGTCTTGGGATTAATTCGGTGGAAGCTATTTACCATGGGGTTTTATGCTCTTTTATTGGCAGGTTTTACAACTTTTACAATCCTTTAGGGGTTTGGTATAAAACTCTTTATATCTCACCTTGGAAGCCTCCCCCTGCTCATGCTTCTAAGTTCTAGAAAAGGATTCATGCTACAGCCATCAAAATTAAAGATAAAATTTCTTTTTGCGTCTCCCAGGATAGCTCTTTCTCTATGCTTTGGGATCCTTGGCTTAAAGGAAATCTGATTGCTGAGACTTATAATTTGCCAGTTTTAGCTAACAAGATGGTGAAAAATTTTATCTGTGTAAGAAATTGGGTGCTATCTGTTGGGTTGCCCTCTGCTCTTACTTCTATTATTCAGGGTTGTGACATCTTGGATAAGTCTGAGGTTCTTTGGAATGGCTCTAGCAAGTGGGTTTTTAAAGCTTTCACTGATCATTTTTATTCCCACTTGCCTAAGGTTGATTGGTTTTCTTCTATATGGCACAAGAATTTTGCTCTCAAATATGCATGTTTTGCCTGGATGGCCATTATTGAGAAGTTAAAAACTGCTGATAATTTAATGATCAGAGGTATTCCGGAACCTCTCGATTGTTCCCTTTGCCATAAATTTTCTGAAAATCACAGTCATTTATTTTTTGGCTGTGATTTCTCTTTCAATATTATGGTGAAATTGTTGCCGGACCTTAGCTGTTTCCTTTTGAGACCTACTATTTCTCATATTTTAGATTTCATTGAGCACTCTTCTACTTACAGCAAACCAGAGAAAGATTTTTGTTGTTTAATAGTTAGCTGCTCTATCTACCATATCTGGCGTGAGAGGAATAACCGCCGTTTTTCGAACCTCAATACAAACTCTGTTACTGTTATTTGCAACATTTCTGCTGCTATCAGACTCAAAATTTCGAAATGGAGACACAAGGATCAATTACTGCGGAGGTTTACTGGATTTTAATTACTCTGTTTTATCTTAGTTATGTTTTTATTATGGGCTTTTTTAGCCTTCTGGTCACAATCAAAACAATACTATCCGGATTCCTCCCAATTAGTAGAAGAGTATATTTTATGTATTAGTATTTTACAAAAATTGAGCAAGCGCAAATAAAAGTAATAAGAATAAAAATTATTACGTGGAAAGTCGAGAAAGAAAAAAAAATATAGGTCTGGCCCAGTTAAAAAACTCACTATATAATAAGTAATACAAAAATTCTTCTTTCCTCGTTGTTAAAGAAGTAGATTAAATAGATGTCTAATTTTTCTTGAGGGAGATTATAAAAATCAAGTGTCCATATAGGAATAGTTGACACTCAACAACAGAATTTGATTTCTCCAACAGAGAGAATAAAAAGCATGTGTCCATATGCATACAACTAAATCAACAACTTGGTTAAATCTTCTCAATATTCTGGATATAAAGGCGATTTCTAATCTTTGTTAGCAACGATGGTTGGAAAATGAGAGAGAGTTCTCTTTAATTCTCTATATTTTTCTTCCCCTTCGCATGAAGAATGAGGCATTATTTATAGTTTTTTTAGATGAGCATTTTGGTAATTTGAATTAGAATCCAAAAAACTTCACCGTATGGCTCATATTAATAACATTGATTGTGTAACTTTCATTTAGCATTTAAGTGTCTTAATAATGTCATAATTGAGCGATCTTGGGCCCATTAGATTCGTCGAATTACTGGATTTGACTATAATCTGTCTAATTTGGATATCATTTGATCATCCAATTAATGTTAGAAGTTTCCAATTATGCTTTAAATGATCCATTTTAATTATGCTTCAAGTGCTTGATTTGGCATCCTTTAGGCTCGGATTGAATCACTTTTGGTGTCGTTGGGTTCATCTCATTGAGGCGTTTAAATCGACTATAAATTTGTTGAAATTAAAGTTAATATGAATTTGAATTTAACTCTAGAAGTTTCCAATTCTACTGTTGCCTTGAGATTCATGATAAATTGTGCAGAATTTTGTGAATGTATCATTTGCCTTCCTATTTCTGGATATAAAGCTTACTGCATTCGAAACTATATTTTCAAGTCTTTCAAAATTATTGTAACATAAAATTATAATTCCAATAATCGATCACTTCCTGGATGTCAAAATAGGCCTTTTCTTGGGGCATTGAACCAAATAAAATCACCTTAATTTTAATTACAAACTTCCATAAAGTAAGTGCATTTATTGGATTATAAATTATTAGAATATTTTCTCCAAAATCTTCGAATTAGCACGAATTTGATCATAAATGCTCCATTAGAGTTTGAAAATACCAAAATTGAATGTAGAACATCGAAAAATGATTGTAAGGGCTCAAAATCATTATAATAGACTTTTTGGGCCCAAAATTGGGACCAGATTGGGCTAGGCTGATTGGATTGACCGATCGGCCTACGCAACACTTTATCACGCCTTAAGCTCGCTTGTGGCATCATTTTGGAGCTCCCATTTTTTCTTTTTTTTTTCTTTTTTATAAGATATTTTTTTCTCTTTTTTTCAAAATTTTAAGGTCTTTTTTCTCTTTTCTTAAAGATATTTTTTCTCTTTTTTCTTTTTTTTTTAATTTTTTTTCAAATTATTTTCTATTTTTTTAATCCATGTAACAATCTTTTTTTATATCATGTAACTTTCTTCATTAAAATTACATAATTCTCTTATTTAAAGTTATGCTCCCATTTCTTATTTAAAGTCATTCTTCATTAAAATTAAATAATTTTCTTAAAAGATGTATTCTACTATATGGAATAGGCGTTATCCCCTTTCAAGCTTCAGTGCCCCTCTCTATAGAGAATGAGTTGCTCTTTCCCCCCTCTTCTCCACTTCTTCTCTCAAAAGAAGCATTACATTATCTTGAATAAGTGGTATCTATCATAATATAACCTTATAAAACCCACAGATGGTTCAGATCCTATCGAGTTAGTTTGCAACAAGCTAAACACAATATCTATGTTTAAAAAATTATTCTAATTTTTTTGTCTATTTTTAAGTTTAAAATAAACAACAAACCATATAGCTACTAATAATTTTTTAGTGTGCATAAAATAAACTCATTCACATAATTTTTTTATTTATCGTCAAAAGTATTTATAATAATTACACTATAGTACATGGCTACTAACTAGAATACAAATATAACATATTAAATGATTAGCCATGATTAATAAAAAAAATTATAAAAGAAGTACCTATGCAGGCTTAGATCAAATCCTGAAAATTACAATTCTATATGCTCTTTCCCTTTTCAAGTCACTAAAAATAGAAGGTAGAATAATTGTGGTCTAACACAACTCAATAAACCATATTTATCCATCTAAATTTCCAAATGAATATGCTATTAAGCATTTAATTGAGTGCTAAAATTGCACATATCAATCAAACAAGAACATGACTTATTGTATTGTAGTAACATGAATGTAAATAAAATTATTTAGAAATTACCAAAATATCTTAATGTAAATAAATTTATTATAGTGCAAAATTTTACTTTTTACACAATAATGAATTTTTGCACCGTAGTGTATTTTGCTCAAAATACAAATGTACAAAAATTCATTATTTTAGAATATAACTAGATTATTAGAAATTTAAAATATTTTGAGAGACTTTTTGTCATATTTTTAAGCTCCATTTTTTTTCTAATAGGAAGGTAATAATTATAAAAAATATATAATGCCGGATATAGAAATGATGTTGATGAAAGTACTTCAATTCATTTAGTTTTACTTTATGCTTCTTGCATTAATCTTTGAAATAAAAAGACTGTATGTCTGAATATGTTGTAGAATTTTAAAATTTATTATGTTGACATCATGTAAATTTAGTAATATTGTATATGTCTTTGAGATGTTTATGAGCTTGATTGGTGTTTATTTTTTAATTAATTTGAATTATTGAATGCCCTGTCTTTATATAAGAATAATTATAATTTGTGAACTAATTACCCCTAGAAGAAACTAAGTTCTTTATGCATCTTTGAGATATTACCTATAGTTAGAAATTAGATTAGAGAAATTTATTCTTTCTACAACTTTTAACCTTTTGAGATTTTTTATTAATTGAAGAAATGTACGTATATCTTTTGAGGCTTTTATTTTTCTAAGATTCGTATGTACTTGTACATATTGAGGCTTTTAGTCTGTTAAGATTTTTGGTTTTTTGTATCTTCTGAAGTTTATTCTTCTGAGATGTTTGCATAATCATATACTTTAAGAGGCTTATGTCATCTAAGATTTTAGGTGTACATATATCTTTTGAGACACTTTTCTTCCAAGGTTTTGTGTACACTTACCCTTCTGAGCCTTTTACCTTTAAAAGTTTTTGAATAGTCGTGAACCTTTTGAGGCTTTTACCTTTTGAGATTTTTATATACATGTACCTTTTGAGACGTTATCTTCAAAATTTGTTTGTTTACTTTTACCTTCAATGTTTATATCTTTGAAGGTTTTTGTATAATCATATATCTGATGAGACTTATGTCTTCTGATATTTTAGGTGTACATATACCTTTTGATGCCTTTCCTTTCAAGAGTTTACATATGCATATTTCTTCTGAGGCCTTTATCTATAAAGATTTTTGAATAATCTTAAACATTTTGAGGCTTTTATCTTCTCATATTTTTGAATGAGTGAAGATCATGTCAACCTCTTCCTCTCATGGAGTCTTTTTTAGTGAGGAACATATCCATTATTAGTTTCCTTTTGATGCTACCTCATATCCAATTATGTGCACAAATTTATTATTTTAGAATATAACTAAAATATCAGAAATTGTTCATAGCACTATTTAAATACTTTAATTATGCTACAGTATTATCTGTCAAAGTTTAAAATATTTTTTAATTAATTAAAATAACATACTTCCAAAAATCTATGATATAAATTTCTAGAAAAATACCTAAATGTTTAGAATCTTTGTCTCTATATCATGTAAGAAGTTACATGATAGAAATTTTAAATGTATGAAATTATCCTTATTTTTATACTATATAAATATAAATTAAATAAAAATATTCTAAAAATTCTCATGCTTTTGAAAAGTGGGATAAACAAAATATCATCTACTTGGATCCGAGCAACTTTTAGAATTAAGTTTTCAACTAAAAATGACCCGCAGTAGCCCAAATCTAACTTTTTCTCTCTAGAAATATCTTTCTCTCTCAAACACACTAATCAGTTGCCTCAAAATAAGAAAATGGATTTAATTAATGGAAATGGATATTTTGTATCTTAAAATTAGACCCAACATCGTAGAGCACTCACAACACCGTGGTGCCAAACCCATCGATGTTGTGTTGATTTAATTCCAAAGTTTTAGAGAGCTCACATTCACCTACCCTAGTACCATGGCGCCTAAGGGAAAAAAAGTTAGATTTCAAGAACATGCCAATAGATCCCTGCCCACTTCAAGACAAATGTAGACTTTCATATGCCCATAAAACACTTATAAACACATCTAGAAGGGTTCAAAAGAAGAATTTAAGTGGATACTTTTCTAGTTCAAGTCAAAATTGGTTGAATTGTATATTGATCCTAGAGGTGTCACGTTATTCTCTTTCAAGCTCTAGTGCTCCTCTCTAAAGAGAATGAGTTACTCTTTATCCAGAGTTATGAGTAATACACATTATATATCTTGATGGCACAGTTTTGATCTTTATATTGAGATAAAGTTGGATGATAAAATTTTGAGAGACTTATTATAATATTTTGAATCTCCAGAGTTCTTTTAATAAGGAGGTAATTATTGTAAAAAAAAAATTTGTAACGTTGGATATACAAATGATGCTGATAAAATTATTCAATTCATTGAGTTTTATCTTTTACTCCCTGCCTTAATCTTTGAAATAAGAAGACCGTATGTTTGAATATGGTGTAGAATTTTAAAATTTACTATGTTGACATCATGTAAATCCAGTAATATTATATATGGGTTTGAGATGTTTATATAAGCTTGATTGATGTTTGCTTTTAATTTATTTGAATTATTGAATGTCTTGTTTTTATGTAAGAGTAATTCTTATTTGTGAACTTACCCCTAGAAAAAAATTATTTCCTTTATGTATCTTTAAGATATTACCATGTAGTTAGAGAAACTAGATTAGAGAAATTTTTTCATTCTACAACTTTTAACCTTTTGAGATTTTTAATGAAATAAAGATATTTGAGGCTTTTAATCTTTTAAGATTCTTATGTACTTATATATGTTGAGGCTTTTAGCCTTTTAAAATTTTTGGTTTACATGTACCTTTTGAGTTTTATGTCTTTTGAGATTTTTGGATAATCATATACCTTATAAGACTTATGTACTGTGAAATTTTTGGTGTACATATACCTTTTGAGGCTTTTTTCTTCCAAGGTTTTACATACACTTACCCCTCTGAGGCATTTGCCTTTAAAGGATTTTGAATAATTTTGAACTTTTTTAGGCTTTTACCTTTTAAGATTTTTCTATACATATATATGTTGAGACTTTAGCTTCTAAGATTTTTTTTTTTTTTTTTTGCTTACATGCACATTCTGTGATTTATATCTTTGAAAGTTTTTGCATAATCCTATATCATATGAGACTTATGGCTTTTGATATTTTAGGTATAAATATACCTTTTGAGGCTTTACCTTCCAAGATTTTGCATATAGGTGTTCCTTATGTGGCCTTTATCTTTAAACATTTTTGGATTATCTTAAACATTTTGAAGTTTTTATCTTCTGAGATTAATGAATGAGTAAAGACCCTATTAATTACCACCTCTCGAGGAGTCTTTTTAGCCACTACTAGCTTCCTTTTGAGACTACCTCATTGGCATGTCTTCTTATGGTTATGAGTGGAGACCCTATCTACCACTTACCCTCAAAGGATCTTTATAATGAGGAACATGTCCAATACTAGCTTCCTATTGAGGCTTCATAATGGGCGTTGCCTTCTTGGGGTTTTTGTTAAAATGTTGCTCGATAGCATTAAATTGTATAAAATGGTTGTGAGAAATCCATCAAGAATGCTTGAACTATATGAAGTTATTAATCATTATATTGCTCAATGACATTAACATGTGTAGAAGAGATTAAAAGAAATTCACCTAGGATGTTTGACATATCCAATGTTGCTTGCTAGTATTGCTCGATAATATTAACCTATGTGGAAGAATGAATCAAACCCCAAATGACCAATTATTCCTTGATTGAGAGGGGACGAGTGCCTCGTGTATTACAAATCAAAGGTGAATATTGGTTTGTCTTTAAACCATTACTACATTTTTTTTAGGTTGAGACTATGACTTTGTCCAATAAGTCAAAGTCCAAATAGGAATTGTGTAGAGTTTGAGATTCACTTAAATCCTTCTCATATTTGTTGGAAGCTTTATAAAAGGTGGTTACTAGAAATACTATTATGGGAGCACCAAATTTTGGATAAACATGTTCAACCACAATCATGTTTGAGATTTTTCATAAATATCCCTTTGAGGTTGTAGTCAGTGTTGCCCCCTCAGCCTAAATCTATTTTTCATAAAATTAATGCAACAAGAAAATAGAACAATGTTTATTTTATATTGTAATGAGGTTGCCCTCGATATTGAAAGACTTCTTTCAACCTAATAATGGTTCATGGTAAAATGACTACCTAGCTACAATCATGCTTAAGGCATTAACATGAACTATCCTTTGAGATTATAGCAAAGGTTTCCTCTGGCCAAGAAACATTTCCCATAGATAGTGTCAAATTATTACATGCTAAAAAAATACAGTCTACAGAGTGTGTGTTTTACTTCTCAGTGTTGTACAAAAATTTAACATGCACAAATAAAAGAAGTAAGACAAAAAATATATATGTGAAAAATCTGTAAAGGGAAATTTATGTAAGAAAAAATCACTATATAGAAATTTATGTAACAAAAATTTAACATGCACCAATTTTTTTAAAAAAAATCACTGTATAGCAAGTGATACAAGAATCATCCCTTCCTCACAGCTGAATAAGAGGGGATTATTTGAAAACAAGTGTTTGATTTTTTGTAAGGGAGATGACATAAATCAACTATCCACAGATGGACAGTTCAACACCCAACAATAATGCTTGATTTCCTTTATAGGGATTATAGAAGTATGATGTCCATAAGAGGATAATTAAAACCCAACAATAAGATTAAATCTTAATAATAATTTGAAGGTAGAGGTGATTAGTGATGGTGATCACCGACGGTGATGGTGGTTTTCAGTGGAAATAGCTTGTGGTGGTAGTCAACGGTGATAGCTAGAAAATTCAAGAGAGTTCTTTAGTTCTCGATCTCATTTCTCCCTCCTCCCTCATGCGGGGACTAGGGTTTTATTTATAAGTTTTGGGAAGAGCATTTCGGTATTTTGAACCATAATTTAAAACACTCAATCGTATATGCAATGTTGATTCTCTTAATCATGAAGTGTTTTTTTAGCATTTAAGTGCCTTAATGATGTCAGAATTGAGTGATATTGGGTTTGTTATATTTATCTCGTTGAGCTGCTCGATTCGACTATAAGCATGTTAAATTTGGAGTTCAAATGATGATGTTTTTTTTTATTATTATTCAAAGATTGCCTTAAGATTCGTGTAGAACATATAAATTTTATGGAGTCATATCAAATATCAATATGAAATCAACTTATTTATTGATTATATAATACTTGGTTAAAAATCCTAAGCATGACATGGAATAGGATAAACTACTTCTAGTAACATCTCACAAAAATTTCACGAAAGAAATTTAACATTATTTTACTCCCACTACACATAATTGGCTAAAATATTTCTAGACAAAACTAATCTTGAGATGGCTATAAAAGAGAAAGTCTTTTATTAATATTACAAAAGTTTGAAGGAAATAATTCATTAAACATCTCTTTTTCAAGCACCATTGTCATCTTTTAGCAATATCTTTCTTCACCTTTAAGTAATCTTATGTTATAAAGCTTCATTACGAACTCTTTTAAATAAGCATAACTTATTTTTAGTATTTTTTTTGTTATTGAAATTTGCATGTAGTCATCAATCCATGTTTATAATATAAAGAAGGTAACATAGGAACCCTAGTTTCAAAATGAATAAGCTTGGAACAATATTGGTACGTCCTAAAAAATTGCTTTGATCAAGCACGAATCTCGAGGCATATTCGAGTTAGAAACTTTCAAAATTAAATTTGGGATCATTTGAATTCCAATTTCAGCAAACTTATAGTCAAATTGAGCATCTCAAAGAGGCGAACCAGACAACACAAAATTGGTCCAGCCCAAGCCCCAATGGGTCTGAATCGGGGGCCCGGACCATATTTGGAAGGGTCATAGCATTATTGTCGCCGGACTTCAGCCCGACCTTCGTCGGACCAACGCCTCGCCACCGATCTCCGCCGGACCTTCGCTCGGCAGCCGAGCATAGCCGGACTTCAGCCTGACCTTTATCGAACCACCGCTCGGCCGCCGACCGCCGCCGAACCTTCGCCTGGCCAATGACTACCGCCGCACTTCAGCCCGACCTTCGTCGAATCACCACCCGACCCTTATCGGACCACCTCCTTGCCGTCGTCCGATGCCCGACCTTCACACGACCGATGACCACTGTCGGACTTCAGATCGACCTCCATCGGACCACTGCTTGGCCGCTGACCTCCGTCAGACCTTCACCTGGCCAACGGCCGCCGCTGAACTTCAGCCCGACCTTCTTTAGACCATCGCTCAGCCATTGTTTAATGGCATACCTTCGTCGGATCGTTCCTTGTCAGTTGAACTTCTGCACAAAAGCCATCAATCTTCCGTCGCCAGACCTTTGACTAGCTCTCCAAATTACTATAATTTGACCACCTCTAAATCGAGGGATAGGTCAACCCTTGTAATTCACTCAAGTTTAATGGAATCTTTTCACATGAGCAAGGCATTGTGGTTTTTCCCTCTTCGGGTTTTCCACGTAAAAAAGATTGGATGTTTTACTCCTCTCTTTCAATTTGTGTGCTGGGTATCTATACATCACTAAGACGAAAAGTTTACTCACTCTACTGTCACAAATCTTTTAGCCCACAACAATTATATTAAGTGCTTGATCCTTTTTGAAACAAAGATTGGACCTATATTCCATAATTAAGGTGTAATCATTGTATGTGAAACTTATTTCGGAGGAATCCTCATACAAGGTTCGAGCACATGAATGTTTGAGTGTTCTAACATGATTCGAACCTCCTCGTCTGGGGTTCTAAATTTTTTTTTACATATAAATATACTTCTGTAGCGAGGTTGATATTAGATCAAAACATAGTCATGTATACGTAAATATACTCATGTATACATTAAAATGCAATTTTCTTCATCTTAAGTATCTCTATTGTTGTCTTTATTTTGGCCTCATAAGATCAGCCCAACCACATGAGTATGATTATGTATATATGAATTTGAAGTCTCAGAGGAGCTATTTTGAACAATGTTTGATGAGATTAAAATTTCGTTCTAATATGGTGTGACAAAGTTATGGGCTCTCTAAGGGAGTGCCATGGCGAGTGTCACATCACCACGGGGCGCTGTGCCACTAGGCTAAATTTTAATATTTAAAATATCCAAATCGAATATTTCAGTCATGTTGCAGTTCATGACTCCTAGTCTGAGATTTTGATGATGACAAATAATATCGATTGAATTATGATTTATTGAATATCTTTTATTTCTGCTCTTGTCTACGAGTACTAACATTTCAGAGATATCACAAATTACTCAGGATAATAAGAAGACTCGAGACTGGGTAGAGTAGGATTTGAAGTCCATACCCTGTAATCTTCATTTTTATTAATTTTCTTTTCTTGAGTTTGGCCACAAAGTATAAGCAAAACTAAGCAATCATGCACATAGAGGGGGAGAGGTTTTTTAAAATAAAGAAAAAATTTTCTCTGTCGATCGCACTGTACGAGTTTCAATCGTACTGTATGATTCGATCTGGCTCAACAGCTATCTGTGAACAAATCGTACTGTACGATGTGTTTCTAATTAAAAATCCTAGCCGCCAGATTAATTTAAGTTCTTAATTCATAAATTTTGAACTGTTCGTAATGTACGATCCAATCATATTGTATGATATTTTGAATACTTACTTAAATTAACCCCCGCGATTAGTCAATAAATCAAGGATTAATTTCTGATTGATTATCATATTGTACGATATGGTTTGTATTGTACGATCAACCGAGACTTTTTTCTATCGTCTCGGATATCGAATCGGACGATCACTTAATTTTGAACTAATCGTATTATACGAAGTGGTTCGTACCATACGACATACAGTGATGAGTTTTTTTTCATCCCAGCAATCATCCTGTATGGACATAAGGAATTTACATTTCGTATTGGACGATGTTATATCGTACTGTACGATATTATTCAAAATAAATTGCCTATTCGTAATCCTTCATACCAGGGCGAAGGCTATTTTGAACTGATTGCATTGTATGATATTGGATCGTATTATACAATCATAACAGGTAAATTGAAAATTTTAGGGTTCTTGGAGCCTGATTTAAATATCAAAATTTTTGTCTTTTATGATTAATGTGTGAGAGAGGAACGTGACTAGAAGGGGACTTCTTGTGAGAGAGCTATTGAGAATATTTTGGGGTTTGTGAGAGAAAGGAGAAGGTGGGCTTTGTGAGGGAGGAGTGTGAGGGAGATCACACAGTTGCTCCTAGCTTGCTGCACGTTGCTCCTCCTATGGCCTGAGAAGATCTTGTGGGAGGCTCTTTAAGGGGGAGATTCTTCTATGTTTGTGTCCTCTAAGGTACTCTGCCTTCTCCAGGATGGAGAAAAACGAGAAGGTTCACTGCCGTCCCTAGGAGGGTGACATAGCGCTTGGTACTCCGCCACATCGGGTTGGTGAAAGTAAGGTTTGTAAAGGCTTCTCCGCCTTGCTGTGGGGGCAAAAGAATAATTACTGTTTAGATGTGAAATTCCTGGAGTGGAGGACTCTGGGGAGTGGACGTAGGTCAAGTGACCGAACCACTATATATTCTCTGATGTGATTTTTTCCTTATTGCACTTTATTTACGTTTTGCATTTTACTTTCATTAAAATTGTTTGGTGAAAATCATAGCGGAATACTTTGTTGAGCAAGTTAAAATTTCACCACCTAGTGTTACAATCGTGTTTTAAGCATTCGCTTCCGCATCAATTTAATATTCTTGCTTAAAATTTAAAAACACAAAAAAAATTAGAACTCCTATTTAGGATTGTCCTTTTATTGCAACAATTTTTCAATTCCCCCCCCCCCCCCTCCTGGTGCATCTCGTACTTTCAATTCAATTCATTCTTTTTATACTACTGCCTAGTGAGAGAAAGAGAGAGATTCTTAGAGAGAGCCATTTGAGCCACTTTGGATTATTTTCAGCAAACGACCTAGTTCTAAAAGTTATCTGACTCAAGGTAAGTTGCATTTTTTTTTAACTTAGTTTTTAAAAATTAAGATGGTTTTGGGATTTTCCTCATTAAAAATATAAATTTTTTATGTTTGAAGTGAGATAACTTCTAAAGAAGGAAACTTTCACTCCATAACTTAAGAGAATATAGTTTTAAATATTTAGGTATTTTTCTGTAAAATTTTTGCCGAGTATTTTTTAAACACTTCTTTTCTAATAGCAAGCCAACTCAAATGAATCGATTCTATAAAAGATATAGAACACAACAAAAGGGTGTCATTCCAGTGTATTTGAGATGGACCAAAATTTGAATTATTAAGTTCGGACGTAGTACAAAAAGGTTTGAACTATGCTTAAACTTCATTTAAGTATAGTTTGAACTTAGGTGGACTATGATTAAAATAATTAATATTTTGTCTGATACAATTTAAGATTTAAATTTTAATGTTAAAAAATGATTTGAAACTCCTGTTATAAACCTATACATTGTTCATTTTTCATAACACTAATCTTAACCAAAAATACTTAACCCTAAACCCAAACAAAGACTTAGGTTTCATCGTTTGGGATGGCTTTTTTGCTGCTCCCTAAAACAACTTTATAGTACAAAAGTTAAAATTTTTTAATAAAAAATTGCTTTAAGAAGCAGCAAAAAAATCATCCCAAACGAGACCTTAATCTTAACATTTAAAATGAAACCCTAATTTTAGTCAAAGTATTTCATATATGGAAATGCAACTTACATCCAAACAAAGGTCTTAACGCCTATTTAGATGGTTGCAATTTTTTATAAAGTTGACTATAAAATTACTATAAAGGAAATAATTTTATTGAAAGCTACAATAAAAAGTAACTTCCTAGAACAAAAAATTCTTAAAAATAACAACAAAAATTATGATTGTGATCTGAAAAATAAACAATACAAAATTTGTCTCAAACAAAATCTTAACCTTAGGCTTCGTTTGAGACGGCTTTATTATGGTTTCTTAAAACAGCTTTTTAGTACAAAAATTTCTATACTAGAAAACTGCTTTAAGAAGTAACAAAAAAGTCGTCCCAAAAGAAGCCTATTAATCTTGGAGGAACTTACATACAAATTTCAATAAAAAAGATTAACAAGATACAGTTTTGAAACCTTCCCATGTAATTTCTGCAGGGAATTGGTATAGGATTTTTATCCATATGGAAGGACTCTAAAACTCTAGTTCCTAAAATTTAATTTCTAAATATGAGTAAGTTGAGTTAATCAGTAAGAACTCAGAACTTCTGTTTTATTATGGCAGAAAATTAAGGATAGAAAAAAAAAAAAGATATTGTACTAAACTGTAATAATAGCCTTCACTATCTTCACTCTTCTTCATCATGAAATTTTCCGTTCAAATGTTCTTCTTTCAGTGTCTTTAGCCTGTGAAACATATTGGTCGAGGAATAGTTGAATGGTTCTCCAGTAACGGTCGCCACCTGAAAGCCACGTGTCCATATGCATGCCAGTAGGAAAATCAATGAAAAGACACCGTGAATTCTTCTCAGCTGCTTTTTTATAAAGCATTTGCATGTGTGATGGAGGAACCATCTCATCTTGCAGCCCAGAGAGGAAGAGAATCGGCTGCTTGACCTGTATGTAAACAATGGATCGGTAAGAAAGCACCTGAAGATGGATTTATTATTTTGTGCGGAGTCCGGAGGGTGTCCGGAGACCAATAAAAATACGCCATGTCACCCCAAAAATATACCGCGCTCGATATCGCTCGGTACCGAGCGCTTAAACCAGACGGAAGAACCGTTCGGTGTCCACACAGAATAATAGCTCCTGAAGATGAGGTACAGTTTGGATAGAACTAAGGCAGATGAATAGATATTGCCAACAAGTTGGTAAGAATTAGAGCAATTTAATAAGAGAAGAATGTGATTTAAAAAAAAACAAAATCTTTTTTGGGAGTAAACATGAAAATTGAGGTTTCGTTTGGGACAGCTTTTGTACTGTTTTTTAAAACGGCTTTCTAGTACAAATATTTGAAATTAAAAAAATTTTGTGCTAGAAAGATGATTTAGAAAGCAAGAAAAAAGCAGTCTCAAACGAAGCCTGAGAAGTTGGTAAATCTATATCATCGTTTTGCTTTCTAAAAAAGGAAAGAAATCACAAGAACAAGACATCTGGGAGGAATAATGGCTCATATATGTATATTGACATATTGTGGATTGTTATTTAAGCGTCATTTTGAAAGATTGTTTACCAACTGAAACGTTGAAAAAGGAAAAAAGCTAGAACAGCTGAGCTGTGATCTGAAAATGATGCAGCAATCATTTTGGTTGGGATTCTGTTTCAAAAAAAGCACTACTTGAAGTGATTTTATACTATGGTTTCATTTGGGACTCTTTTTTTACTGCTTCTTGAAGTAGCTTTTTTGTACAAAAATTTTAATTTTTATACTAAAAAACTCCTTCAAGAAACAATAAAAAAGCAGTCCCAAACAACATAAATATACCTTACCTTATGCTTGAAGTTCAAGTTAATGTACTACAACATAATTTACCAGGGCGTTTTCAGAGTATTCAAATATGTTACTTCTTGATTATAATGAAGAAAATTGCCTAGCCTCTTCCAGGCTTATAATAAACACAGATCTGCGCTACGTAAATAGCCAATTTAAAGTTTAAGTTTCCTATTCTGATATTTTTGAACTTTCTTTCGAAGTAAAATTGATCAGTCACCTTTGAATGTCAATGATCCATAATTGTAAAACAAGTTCCTAAGAAACTCGAAGGCTCACCTGCCCGATAATGTCGATGGTACTCCATGGTGAGCGTACAAGGAAGTTGAGAACTTTTGGGCCTTTTGATCCACCGCCACCAATAAACCACTTGAGGATCGGCAACAGAACTCCAGCCATATCCAGGATAGAAGTAAAAGTATTCTCCAATATAAGAGCTGAAACCTGAAATTCAGTATGACCATATTTCACCAATCTATAGACCTAAAGGCTTGAAATATTGTTTGCTGTAGTTATTAGAATAATACAAAATAATTTAACCACTAATCCAAATCCAGCTTCATCCAATATAGTTCTAGGAACTACGCCATAATTTTTACTCATAAAAACTAAGAAGGATAAGAATAAAAGAAAGCCGATTACTAGCAACATAAAGAAGAAAACACCTTACAATTAGTGATATAATAAGTTCCCTTACAGCAATATAAAGAAAAAAGTAACGCAAACGTAAAGTTCACTGATGGTTGCAAAAGTAGTTTACTATAAGAAACCTAATGACATGGCGGCATACAGTAACATGCCAAGAAGAATCTGTCAAAAAGAGAGAAGAATTCCTCATGTTCTCATTTGGTAGGAAAAAGAAAATGAGAGAGAGAGAGAGAGAGAGAGAGAGAGAGAGAACAATGATAATTTTGTAGGATGAAATAATACCAAGGATCATAATTGAATTATTGTAATTGCAAAGTTAACTAGAATGAGTAAAGAGTCACCACATTCAGCCAAATACATAGTAAAAAAATTTATTGAATTGTGCAAAGGAAGCAGGACTAAAATTTATGGAATAAATCATAAGATGAGTAGTAACAATAAAGTAGACAAGATCATTGTCATCATATAGAATTTTCCCATATTAGAAAAACACGAGTATTTACTATTTTTTCATTATCATTGTAGAATATCCTGAATAGAGGAAATATACTCCTCTTTATTTCCCATTATCATTTTCATGTTATCTCTTGAATTTTCCTATATATAAATATTTGCATTAGTGTTAAAATCAATAAAGGCGGATCTTTGGGAGGGGAGTATTGTTAGACTGGTCCAGCCGGTCCGACGAAACCGGCTTACGCAAAAAGAGGCGGACATTTCCGCCTCCTGTATGTGTCGAACGCACGCCCGGGCATGCGTAAGCTGTTTAGGAAGGATTTTTTAGGGAGTTAGGAGAGAAATTTGAATGTAGGGTTTGTTTAGGGATTTCCTTTTGATTTGTATGTACTAAATTGTTTGTTTTCCTTGGATTATGACATCTTGAATTTGGCTAAAATTTGAGATCTCGTAGGTTTTCTTTGGGCTCTAGTGGCGTCTAGAGATTTGGGAGAGATCGATCCTCCTCTCGAATAGACGATCAATTGTATCTTGTTATTTTCTTATGTAGTTTGTTTTCTTGCAATAAAATTAATGTTTTTCATTGGTTTTCCATTGGAATCATGTAGATTTTTTGCTGTTTTCACTCACTTGATAGGATTTACTTGAAATCTTCAAGTGTTTCCTATTAGATAGCTCCTTGCAAATCCAGTGCCCCTTCTAAAAATATAAAAGGAAACAAAAATGTGTGAATTTAAAAATTAAACAATAATTAACCACTTACACTTGTAGTCACTCATCCATCATCTCAACCAATTTTCCATGTCCAAAGTAAGTTTGACCAAAGCTAACAAAGAGCAAATGTCATATCAAATGTGTTCAAATCACACTAAAAAATCTACACAGTGGTTGCTGGATGCTAGAAAACCTTTAGATGCTATGTTCACATCTACACAGTGGTTGAGTTGTGCTTGGGCAAAGAAGGCTGAGGGAAAAGAGATTAGAAAGAATATTTTAAATGATAGATTTTCACAAAGTATTTTATATGCCATTACAACCATTAGACCTTTGGTTCAAATTTTAAGGATATTGAATGCTGAAAAGAAGCTTGCAATGGGTTTCATCTACAATGCCATAGATGAAGCCAAAGAAATGTTTGCCTCCAACTTAGGATGTGAAGAGGGTAGCTTTAGGGAAATTTAGAATATTATTGATGATAGATGGACAACTTCACTGCCACTTGCATGCAGCTGGTTATTACCTAAAACCTCAGTATCAATATGCAGAGAACAAGTCTACAAATCCTGAAATAAAGTTAGGATTGTATCATTGCATGGATCGGCTAATAAGTGATGCAACTGAAAGATCAAATGCTGACATGCAATTGGTATCTTTTAAGAACAAAGAAGGCTTTTTTGGATTACAACAAGCAAAGAACACAATTGTCAAACGATCTCCAGGTAATTTGATTTAATGTTTTAAACATTTATTTAAAAGTTATTTTTTTTACACTAATTAAACTCTCTTATATAAATATTAGTTGAGCGGTGGATTCAATTTTGAGATCAGACTCCAGAATTGCAGCATTTTGCTGTGAAAATTTTGAGCTTTACATGCTCTTCATCTGACTGTGAAAGAAATTGGAGTACCTACAACCAAGAACATACAAAGAGGAGAAATCGTTTGTCCACATTGAGGATGAATTCACTAGTATATATTATGTACAATAGGAGACTCAGAGATAGAAATTTAAAGAAAAAATAATTAATGGATGATAAAGATCCTTTGCTTTGTGAGGATGTGACATTTGATGATGAGTGATTTGTATATGATGAAATTGAAGTGATGCCGTCTGAATTATAATATGAAGATTTAAATATTGATTTCTTTGATGGTCTTAAAGCATCTACATCCATCACAACTCAAGAATAAATAAAAAAAGGTATATAAATAATATAATTTTCTTAGACTTTTATTAATGCATTACACTATTATTTATTTTGAGATTGTTCAAAAATATTTAGGGAAGAGGAAGATAACTGGTATTAAGGAAGAAGGACCTGATTAAGAGACATTGGACTCTATAGGAGAAGAGGAAGGGGAGAGAGCAGTTCCTCATAACGATGATTCAAATGAAGAACCCCTTAGTGATGACAGTGCTGATGACTTATGAGTTCTTATGTGATATGTCATTGCTATTTATTTTTGGAGTTATATGTTAATGAAAAGAATACTGTGATTTGGGAAAGATGGAGTTTGAGTTGAACTATATTTCATGTTATTTTATTATTGGGATATTTTGATTTCACTTCATATCATGTGCATTTTTATGTTTTATATATTATTTACTCATTATTATATACAAAATTTATCATTTTATGTTTAAGCTATATTTTTTTATTTTGAGGCTTACTTGCCTTGAGACTTACACCTCGCCTCACGAACGAAAAACACCTCAATACCCGATTACGCAATTTTAAACATTGGGCAAACAAAGGATTCAGAAAACAACTAGATGATCAAGGATTAAGAAACGAAGCTCAAATCTAGCAAACAACCCAATCAATGACCCAACAAATAGCAATAATAACTCAATCAAGGAATCATTAAATGTTGAGGAAGAGGTGATGGTAGATGACAAAGTGCACACAAGATTAGAGCTGCAAGCGAACCAAACGTTCGACTAGCTACTAGTTGTTTGGTTCGATTAAAGCTCGTTTGTGATCGTTTAATTAGCTAAACAAACAAACTTGAACACTAATGCGTTCAACTCATTTATGTTCGCGAACAACATCATTTGAAGTTCGTGAACAAGCTCGACATTAAACTTGATTCGTGTTCGATTTTGAACTCATGAATAAGCTAGATAAAATTAATTAATATTTGATTATAAAATTAATAAATATAAATAATCATTCCCTTTGTTACATAAACAATTGCTTTTATTATAAATATGTTTGTTCATAGATATGTTCATGAACGTATTTGTTTGATAGTTAAAAAAAAATCGTTAAATATGTTCGCGAACAAGCTCGATAAGCACTAAACGAACGAATATGAACCGAACATGAACACTCATTAATTTAAATGAACCAAACATGAACACAAACAATAAAGCTCGAACAAACATGAACCAAACTTGAACAAGCTGATATTAAATGAACACAAACATGAACACTCACATACTCGGCTCGGCTCGGTTCGTTTGCAGCCCTACACAAGCTGATGGCAAATGGCAATGTTCAACAATTGCATAAGGTGAACAGAATGGAACAACAACATAAGCAGTGGGTGCAAGAGTTGAGCTTACGTGTGGCCAGTTGCAACACTCAATAATAATAAGAGCACTCTGGCAAGAACGCACAAATAAGGCAAGGTACAAAACTTTATTCAACAATTCATCAAATGCCATAGCCTTATCAAGCAAACCACTTTATGGCAATAGGTGGGGAGGAATGAGCCATCAGGAAGGTAAAACTCCATCGTTGCTAGACCTCCATTATGAAATCGATTGTATGTCATCATCATAGAGTGTGGTTAGCAGTCGTTCATCATCTCTCAATGCTGGCCGAGTAATCTATTATGGTCAGCTTTTGGAAGATGGAAAGAAAGTAGAGGTTTAACCAGTAGTGAAAATTTAGCTTGATTGTTGTGAGAATAAAGGAAATAAGAGAAAAGCCTGCGAAATAGGCTTGGTGCAAATGAAAGAGAAAAGGGAAGGAGTGAAAAAATTAAAAGATGAGAGGAAGATTACTCGACTGGGAGGCGCTATCAAGAAGTCCACCCCCCATCTCCTGGAATGATTAGACTTGACTACCTGGAAAATCCAATCGTTGAAAGGTTTCTTATCTAACTAAGCAAACTAAGTTTAGATCAGGCATGAAACATAAGAATAAAATGCCATGGGATTTAGGCTTCGTTTGGGACTGCTTTTTTGATGCTTCTAAAAGCCGTTTTCTAGTACAAAAATTTTAATTTTTGTACTAGAAAGCGGCTTTTAGAAGCACTAAGAAAGCCGTCCCAAACGAAGCCTTAGTCAGATGACAGAAAAAAAGGACCAGCCCAATTGGCACCACTTTTGAACTAAATCCCAAGAAACAATTTCAAGAGAACTCCCAAAGAACTGCTTTCATCTATAATCTTGGTGTTAATTTTTAAAATAGTCCTCCGACTATTAATAAATGACCATTTTAGTCTCAGAGAATAACATTGCTCCAATTTAGTCCCTTGACTATACAAAATTGATCTAGAAAGATCCCTTTAGGACTAAAGTGAGGTTAAATTTGTAAAGTCGAGGGACTAAATTGGGATCTATTTTATATCATAATTATAATACGAGAGACAATTTTGGATCAATTTTG